AAAAAAAAACAAAAACAAGTTTCAGTTTCATAAAAATAATAAAACTTTTTTTTTTAAAAAGTAAAAATAAATAAAAACAATGAATTAATTTCTTTCCCTCTTCTTTCAGTGAAGTCGAGGAGTCTGTTATCGACCTTCGAAGACGAGCAACCACACCTGCTCGGGCTGGGCGGCGAATATCCCGAGCAATGGGAGGACACGCCAGCCGTCGTCATGGCAGCATGGCGTCACTCAGAGCAGCAGAAGCTGGGGGCGGAGCCCAGCAGGGTGGAAACACACCCACCTTTCAGGAATAAAAACAACGACACGCAGTCGCCAAAAAACCTGCTGCTGGACCTGCACAGGTAAACACACACGACGACAACACTCGATGTAAACACACACACACACACACACACACACACACACAACACAACAACATGTGTGATAAAGAGATATTTTCTGTAGCACATTTAATTTTATTTCGTGTCTCTTTATGGTTGCTTTTTGTCTCTTTGTAGTTACTCTGTTTCTCTTTGTCGCCATTTTGTGTTTCTTTGTCATAATTTTTTGTCTGTCGTCATTTTCTGTCTCTTTCTGGTTGGTCTACATCTCTTTGTAGTCACTTTTTGTCTCTTTGTAGTCACTTTTTGTCTCTTTGTCAACACTTTTTGTCTCTTTGTAGTCACTTTTTGTCTCTTTGTCAACACTTTTTGTCTCTTTGTAGTCACTTTCTGTCTCTATGTAGTCACATTTTGTCTCTTTGTAGTCACTTTTTGTCTCTTTATAGTCACTTTTTGTCTCTTTGTGGTCATTTTGTGTCTCTGTGTGGTTGGTCTACGTCTCTTTGTAGTTATTTTACTGACCTTCCATCAAGAAATGTTCCCAGTTGCTTCAACTGACTTCAATTGATTTGAGTTGACTGGGACTCTGACCCAGAAGTCCCCTGACCCTTTGGGGCCCCTGGGGCCGAGTCAGTAATCCATCCATAGTATAACAGACTATCACATCGCCAAACTGAACCAACAACAACTGTCCGTCACAGACCATCACAGAGCTGGTTCTGTGGTTGAAGGTCAGAATGAGACACAGCTTTGAAGAGTTGATCACCTCTGTTCTCTCTCTCTCTCAGGTCTCTGGAGCAGAGGGCGAACGAGAGCAGTAGTAAAGTGATAGAGCTGGAGCGAACGGTCAACGAGACCTCCTGAGGTTGATGTCAACATCTCCCCCACCTGACCTCCTTTACACCCCGTGATGACCTTTGACCTTCCCCCCTCTAGAGCATGGTTCAGTGTCCTGGAGCAAACCTCATACAGTAGTTTCCACTGCTGATTGTTTAAGGTCATTTTTTTCTGCCATCTCTGCTCAATCAGATACACTGTAATAGTAATCATTAATATTATTAATAATAATGACAATAATAATAATAATAATAATGATAATAATAATAATAATAAAGGGGCACCGGTTGCCTTAATTTCTGAAGTAAAAGTTGCACTGAATAGTTTTTACATGAGTCAACATACCAGTTTTTAGTTGTCTTAATTGACCCGGCTTGAAACACTGTTAAAAAATCACATTCAGATAAATTCAAACAGATCTAGTGAAAATTTAATTCCAGTGGACAGTGTCTTAAAATATGACGTGAGGCTTTTTACAGGACACTGACGAGGACCTCTGTATTTATAGAAACCTTTTTTTTTGTTGTCGTTTTTCAAAGATTTATTTCTCTTTGTAGTTGTATTTCTTTTTATTATTAAATGTTTATATTCAATTCCATTAATGCATACATCACATTTTGATACTTTTTTTCGTGTTCATACTGTATTTTGTGATTTTATTTTATTGTACTCTTTCATGTATTGTTCATATGTCTTTGTCTGACTCGAGGGCTTAGCTCGGGGTTCATGCGCTTATGTGGAAAAAATCAGAGAAGTTTCTAAATGAATATTTTGAGATGTTTAATGCAGTTGAAAGACCAAATGTTATTTCATTTATATAAAGACACCTGTAGACATTTTATTTGGGATGTTTACGTGGGGGCTTATCAATCGGCAGCTTCAGTAAGTCTTTATTCTTTTCCTTTGACACGTGTGGACCATGCTAACGACTTCTGAGGAGTCAAATCAAAATTTGAGACTTTTTTTTTTTCTTCTGCAAAATAATTTGAATTTTGGTCATTAAACGCATCTTAAGGAACCACATTTTTCAGGTTGCTCTTACAGATGTTGGATGAGAGCAGCCAAGTAGCAAAACAGCACGTCAAAATAACTATCATGCATCCCACGATGTTTCCTTTGCTTTAAGAAATTGTTCAACTCTTTTTGGAAAAATTTGCTTATTTGCTCTCATGTCTGAATGATGAATATGAAGCTACAGCTAGCAGCTACAGCTAGCAGCTAGCTCTGTCCAAAGCTGAGAAAAATCCAGCTGCTTCCAGTCTTTTAGATTCACTGCACAGACCTTACACTTGCTGTAAGAAAGCAAGTAAGAGTTTCCCAATATGTCGGAACTATTCCTTTAAATAGTGTCTGAAAGTGTCTGAATGCGCGATGGAGCCACAGATTTCACCTCCTGCACTAACTCTTTCTGACCTTTTATTCCTCACTTTGCACACTTCCACTGTCAGAGTCTTTATCTGCTACTTTTTCAGCATTTGCCAAAAAAAGAATTTCTTCCCAGAAATTAAAAAAAAAAAAAAAAAAAAAGTTATCTATTTTTGTAAATATATGTTGTTAATAAATAAGGAAGTCTAAATGTGTCTGGGATCTGTAGTTTATAAACAAATTCATAATTCATTCCCAGTCTATTTTGGATGCTGTGTTGTTGATAAATTATGAACGTAAAGAGGCCGCAGGGTTTGGTTGGGTTTTGAGTTTGATGATTTACAGAGTCACGGCTTTGAAAGTCTTAAGTGTTCATTACAGATACATTTCTGAGCTTTATTGGAATCATGTTCGTTTATGTGTGTTACAGACCAAACCAGACACGAGGCCAGTTCACTTTCCATGTTGTAAATACGAACAGTCGCCCCATTTTATGAAAATTCAGAAGCCCAGAAATTCAACAAAGTGTGAGGGTGAATCTGCCAACAAAACTGATCCCAGCCCAGTTTAGAGACGAGAACACAAGATTTGTATGTCTAGTTCTTTGTAGATCAGTGGCTATATTACTGTCAGATCTGCCTTTTCTCTATGGTAAAATAAACTTTATCATTATTATGGTATCTTAGTGTCGAGGAACCAACATATTCCTCACTGCAGAGTCTAACAATTCTACAAGAGAGATCATAGGAAACGCAAGATATTTGATTTTATTTTGAAATTTCCATGAACAATTCTCTTCTAGTGAAGTCTGAGACTAAAGCAGCCAGTGGAGAGCATTTTTCCAGAGTCAGATTTCATTTCGATGTTGCTTCTGTGTAAAGGCGGCCTGACTTTCTGGCTTTCTGTCTTTTTGCATTCAAATGAATAAAGTATTTTCCTTAGTAAAAGCATACTTCCTGTTTCTGCGTGTGGTCTGTTCATGACAGTTTTCTTCTGGGTGTCGTGCGGTTGACTTGCTCTGCCTCTCTTACTAAAATAAACTGTGGTATTGTGATGATAATGGCTTGTGTTTCTAGTTTTACCACGGAAATACCAGGGTTCACATCATGAACCACTGTTTTGGCCACGGTACAAACAATGTAAAACAATATGTACTTTTTGTAAGTTCTGGATTCGTATGGAGGACCACATGTACCAGTTATAAAAGTTATAAAACATTTAATTAAATCTAATTGGACACTAAAAACAGGAATGAATAAAAGCTTTTACAAATAAATGAATTAATCCATAAATACACAATTACTAATAATTTCCTTAATTGATATTCAAATGGGCAATAAAAAGAAGAATTATGGAAATTATTTATAAATAAATATATTCATCCATTAATAAATAGGTCAAATTAAAAAATGGATTTATAAATAAACAACATAAAACAGTCCTTAAATACATAATTCAAAAATAAAAATATAAAGATAAAAAATAAATGGCCAAATTTACAAACTAAATTTAGAAAAAAAGTTTAAATAAGGTGTTTTAATACTTTAATAAATCCCTTTTAATACATTAACTTGTAAATTCTTCATAATTTGTACTTTTAAATCTCATTAATGAAATACTCAATAATTTAGTCTGTTTTCGTAATTAAGTTAATGCTTAGGTTAATGCTTGTTTTTATCGTCCAATTAGATATCCATGTACAACAACATGTTTTTCTAAATCTCTCTCCACATAATTGTTTTTTTAATGGATTTTTGATTATTGTAGATAAACAACTTGATCTGCTGGGTCAAAAAAGTATAAATAAAAGTACATACAAAAGCTAAAATGCCTCTTTCAGTTAAGGATCATAATTTGTTGCAAGCTTCAAAGCATTTTTTTTTTCTTTTACAACTTTAAATCACGTTAAGGCCAAACTCCATTAGGACAGAAAGGAGTCTCATGGTTAACACGCTGGTCTATACAGGAGCTTCTATCTCCTCTAAAATGACAAGGCTCCTAAAATAGATCCGCAGCAGCGCCTCATAACAAGTAGTGCGAATCGCTCTGACAGTCCCAAGACAATACACAGTCCCGCAGCTTCACAACAGTCCGGTCTCGTAGTAACGCAGCAACAATGAATCCCAGCACCGCTCCAGTTATGGTGCATCGTGTTTGTCATGAAATCCATATAAATAACTGAGCAAGACTTTCCAAAAAGCGTGTGATGAAACAGAGAGTGAATGAATAGACGAAGGAGCTGTGCTCTGATGGTTCAGGGTTGCAGGAGTTCTCAGACACACAATGTTAATTATAAATGAAAGATCCTTCTCTTAGAGGGAAAGTTTCTGGATTGTTTTTCTAACAGCCTGGTTTCATCAAATTCAAAATAACACTCGTTATTTTTTTCTTGACCATCCTTTCTCCAGGTTTTTTTGTTTTTTTTCTCTAACCTGAACTTAGTATCTGTGTTTTCATCTCTGCATTTGGCTGCAGTACTAATAGTGGAATTTCATAAAATACTGTTCATTTCTTCTGGGTATTTCCTTGGAAATCAGACATAATAACCCAGACAGATGGGTCTGCTGCCGACAGAAACCTGATCGGTAAGCAAGCTAGTTTTGTTTTTGCTCATTTATCAAACCAAGATCTTTGTTTGAAAACATCGTCTGCTGCCAAAAAGCCTGTGGTTAGAGAGAAGATGAAAACCACTCGCCTTGAGATTTTACATCGGCCGTTTTGACAGATATAGTGGAGGTTTTAAAAAGGATTGAAGCCAGTTGGATTTTTGAAACTTCAAATATGTTTTACACAGAAAATGTAGGTGTCTAATAGTAAAAAAAAATAAATGTATAATGTAAGATTCTTTAATTCAATTAGTAAAATCTGGATCTAAAAGTTCACCAAATCAAGTCGCTCATATTGGATTGGTGAAATTCAGATGTTCAGCATTCAGGCTGCGGAGGATAAACAACTGAGTGTCATTCTTTTTATTGAATAAAGAGTTTTAAATATATGAATCCTAGAAATACAGTTTTTAAATTTGCCCTCTGGATATGTGAAAGATGGGAATGTATATCATTTATAAATTCATACAGAGGGTTTTTAAAGTAAAACATTTCAGTGGCATAAATGTCCTCTGTGGGGGTTGTGCATCTCTCCTCTGCATTTCAATAATCATATAGCCTACAGTGTTGAAACCGGTCGCCCTGTGTCAAGGACATCCTGGACTTTCCAGTTTCAGGTAAATAAAGGTTTGACAAACTTTTTTTTAATTTTCAAAGAAGTTCTCCTGCAGATTTTACCTGCTGAAATGAGAAGCCTTTATTCAGTGTCGTCTGTGGGGGACGAGCGGACCAACTTAATCTGTTTTTATATGAAATTGAAGGTATTTAAAGAAATATTTGTAAAAAGTCATGACTTTTTAACCTTTTACCGTTCACCTTTTACCTTTCAGAACTATACTAATTGTTAAATCAAAGAATTTTCTTCATTTAAAGGTTTGTGAGAAGTATTTTGCACATCTGCATTGCCGTACGCTGCATGTTAATTGGTCTTGTTGGTTGGTTAAGTGACATGAGCCACACTGTCATCTGTGCCAGGTTAGTGCAGCAGGTTGGTTATTAATTGTAGGGATGGTAATTGACCCCCGACCCCCTCTGTTCACAGTCTGGCGTCTTGTCAAGTCACATGCAACCAAACAGAAGATATGGCATATGAGTCTGTAATTGGATGTACATGCAGTGGGTTGGATTATTTATGAGTCAGTTATGGCAGGAACTGCAGACAGATGCTGTCCTGGGGGAAAAAAAACAGTGGAGGAAGGTCAAACAGGTCACTTAAGGTCACTCCAGGTCACTGACGACTTGATGAAGCTGATGCTCCGGCGCAGTGAAGTGAAAGAGGAGGCTGACAGATGTGGCCTGATGTCTGACAGGCGACTGCAAATTACAGTAAGACATAAATGAAAGACCATTACCGTCATGACACATCTGACACACACACACACACACACACACACAGTCCACAGTACACATGCAGCATATGGACTCTGTGTGTGTGTGTGTGTGTGTGCGTGTGTGTGTGTGTGTTTGTGTGTGTGTGTGATTAGAGTCTGAGAGTGAGATACTGACAGCGTGCTTGTGTTTCGTGCGTGCACGCTCACCCTCTGCCCTACTTTCTGACTGATGATGCTGCAGAAAGGAGGAGGAGTGGGAGTATCCCACAATGCCACGCTGCTCGTCCCCTGGGCCGGATGGATGGATGGATGGATGGATGGATGGATGGATGGATAGATGATGCAGTTACTTGTGGTGCTGCACACACTGAACGTGTTTATTGTCGCCGCCCTCACGGCAGCTCGCACCCATGCAGTTTTTAAAATCTGTGTCATGTCACAAAGATTCAAATACTCGACTTCCGGTAATTATTTTTTGAAAAATAAAAGCAAGGGTGTAATAGTTCAAGGTTAAATGCTCAGTCTGTTCACTCATAAAACATGAAAATGACAGTGTACCCATCCGAATAAACCAGTTCTGATTACTAATTTATATTCTTCATTTATAACTTGCTGTTCCATCATTATAGAAAATTATTTCTATTTGATTTTAGACTGCAAATCATAATTAAATTACTTATTTAAGGGATCAAATTGTGGTCTCAAAACTTGCGTTGTGAATTACTCTTCATAAACCTGTGAAAAAGCTCTGCATGAGAAATTCACGGTTATGAATGTGTAGAAACAAATTTTATGTGTAAATGAAACAACCCAGATGACTGAGGAAAATAAGTGCTTTCTAATTCATCAGATTATTTTTTGAGTGAAAATACTGATCCTCATAACAGGTTTCAGAATTAGAATTGGAAACACGCTTGTATGTAGATTTTTCCCATACCTACTTATTTTGAATTTCCCCTTAGTGTTGTGGTGCTTAACAGACTAAATAGGCTAAACAAAGCAAGAAGGAAAAATCAGCAAACAGTAAATGTCATGAAT